TTTCTGCATTACATCACCAGGGCATACACGCTGGTGAGGATGACTATAGACAATCTTATAGTTTATGTTAATGTCACAAAGTCCGTTAGTTCACACCTGCATGGGTAGAGGTAATGGCTCCTTTGCTTGGGGCAGAAAGAAATGGGAGACTGGGACCATGAGGCCTCCGCCTCATTTCACACTCCTCCAGGCGTCCGGATAACACCAGATATGGATCTAGTGATGGTTGCCACCTCGCCCAGTGCTTGCCACCTCCCCAGTGCTTGGTTTCATGCTTCCAAGCATTGCAGCTACCTGGTGAACGTGCTTCGGACTTTGTGACTTTTTCTCTCTCTCTACAAGAGCAGGCAACAAGACCTTCCTTTGTGCTCTCAGCAGTGGTGGCTGGCCCTGGCTACAGCTAAACACAGTGTGTCAGAGTTTGGTTTTGTTGGACAGGCATGCTATTGCTACCATTTGGCAATATACAGTGTTGTTATTTCCTGGTAGAAATATATTTTCTGAATAAGAACCTAAATCATCCAGGCATGAATTTTACCTATTGGCCCATAGATTACAGCTTAAACCCCTCTAAGCAAAGACTCAGCTGGAAACACTTATATTTGACTGCAGTAATAGAGTTTCCAAGATTAAAGTAAGTACTTCGGTGTTTTCATGGTGATGCCACTCAGGCTGCCACACTGCTGAGGAATGAGTATATCGCATTTGGAGCTGGTAGTATTCACTGCAGTGGACTAGCAGAGCTGCTTTTGCATGACTAGGGTCTTAAAATTCAGTGTGATTATATCTGTGTCAAGGCTCTGTTGGAAATGTAGGATAAGAAAGTAATTAGTAGTAATGAATAATGTCACCTGATTTAAATACTGATGTCTAGAACAATAATTATGTAAGTATACCAGTTTGTACTTTTTCCAAATTTCTGTGGGAAATAAATTTTTTTTTACATTCTCATTTGCTGTGTACATAGCTACAGTCAGCAGTGCAATTATGTGTTGTCCACAATTGTGAGCAAGTTATGTTTTGGAAGAATATTCTCCGGATCACATGTTGTTGATTGCAACTATCTTGGTAGATAATCAGAAAGTTCAAAATTTATCTTTTTCTTGGGAAGTCTAAAATATGCTTGCAGCCCATCAGCCGTAACAGCAAAGGTATTCTGAGTTTAGTGATCTGCTCTACCTAACATTTGCACAGTCTTTCAGACTAGATTTCCACAAGTAGTAGAACAGTGTGTGCTTTCCTGGCAATGTTCATACATATTTTCTGTCTCCAGTGCATTTTCTCTTTGTAAGTTTCCTCTGTTATTTCTGATTTAGGGCAGTTAATTTTTTCAGAGGACTTATTTTATTCCTTTTATTAGTGGGTGTTGGGAAACAAAGAAAAAGTCTTCCGATGCAGCACACCAAACCATGCAGTAGTTGGTGCTGTGACTTTCTCATGTCCCCCACACCTTCTCTGGAAGTGCACGTGGCTGTCATCCGGCTCCTCTTGGTGACTTCACTCTGATGGGCACTGTTGCTAATGTATTTTTCCAAAGGTATAGCTAGCATATTCTGTTTCAGTCATTAGGTCATTGATGTGATTTAGTTTTGTCTGTTAAGGTGAAGAAATGTTCAACTTACTTATGTATATATATCTCTCTTTAATGTCTTTATACTCCAGCTGTTGACTCGGCGTGCATTGCTAGTGTATTAATTTTAGTAATGCACGTTCTAATTCATCCTACCCATACAGTCTGTCTGCTGGAAACAGGACTGTTTTCAGTTTCCTCCTTCCAACCGTCTGCCAAATCATTTCAGAATACATTCTTTCATACGCCCCGGCTCTCAAGCCATTTGGAGCAAAGTCCATCACCTACTCTGGAGCTACAACATCAGCCATAATAGATGGTCTGCAGGCCGGGGAGCGCTATATTTTCAAAATTCGTGCAGCAAACAGGAGGGGACCAGGTCCTCAGTCTAAAGCCTTCAGTGTCGCCATCCCAGCAGGTGAGCCATGCACCAATTGCGTAGTTTGCCCATTCTTGCTTTCGTCCTAGTTATGTTAATTCTTAATTCCTCTGCATTTCTTCTAACCCATAGGATTTTACTTCCTTAATACTGTTTCTGTTAGCTCTTTTCATCACTATATTGTCCAAAGAGATGCTTGTAGATAAATGTTTGTCATTCTGCAGCATGTACAAGAGCATTTAGTGGACATTTTAACATCTTAAATAAATGCCTACCATGCTCTATTTCCTGCATGTAAACACTATGTGCTCTTGTTACCCAAAGGCCAAAGAATACAATGGTCTTTGGTTGCATTATTGCTGACAACTGCCACTCTTGAAAGTCACTTAGAGTATCTTACTCAGATACTACTCCTTGCATTTGCTTCTTGACAAAAAGGTGCTATGGTGGGGATGGAAGATTTGCTGAGTTATCTAAAAATGTGGGCCACAGCCTCAAATGGAATAATGCAGCACCATGCTATCAACATGACTAAGCTCTGCTGAGGATTTGGCTCCACTGGTAATGTTGCAGTCCTTGCTTTTAGTTACTTGATTTTAATTGCTCTAAGTTTTACCCAAGCTACAGTAATTCCACATAGGTACCTTCCTATGAACCAAAAATAACTCAGCTGGGCTCCACAGGCTGATTAATACAGAAATAATTATTATCTCATATTTCATAAGTTGTTTTTTTCCTTGCTACCTGACTGGTTTCTTCTCTTGTTGAGTTTTTTGTTCTGGTTCTATTGTTGTGAATAAACACTTTTTTATTTCCCCAGCTGCTCATGAGGATACAGTTGCTCAGCAACAAAAAAATATTCAGGATAATTCAGAAGCTAAAAAAACTGGGAATGCTGGCTCATCTCCTTCTCAAACTTCTGTTTCTTCAAAAGTCCAGCCATCGCTTTCCTCTAAGCAGTCGTCTGTTCGTTCACCTAATGTTAGTGACAAAAAGAGTCTTCTTTCTGAATATAAGAATAAAATCTTGTCTCAAGGGGCCCTAAGTAAATCTCAGCTACCTTCTAGAAAGACAGGTGAGCTGGAACTTGATCTCAAATCCACTGAGGTGACAGATGATGATGATTCCTCCCAACAAGCTCCAACGATGCCACCGAAAGCCCAGGATCAGAGGAGGAATGTTAGACCCTTGTCCCCTAGTCGGCCAATCCACCCTGTCCTTGCCTCAAGGAGGACCCCTGTTCGAACCCACACATCAGAAGTGTCACAGCAGACAAGCACAGAGAAACGTGAGCCATCATCAGCACAACACTCTTCTGCCTTATCTGTTCCTAAATACACAGATAACGAAACAAAGAAACTGAGGCAAAGCAACACTGATGTGCCTTCTAAAACTTCTTCCCATCCTCTGCCTGCCAAAACTAATGATCTTGGAGCTAATGTGGAAGGAAAGCCAGACCCCATGCTAGTGAAAGTGTCTTCTAAAACTTCAGAGCCCAGTCGCCTGGCTTTGCCATCAAATCGGCAGTCTACTGTCTCTCATGAGGTGATCCCAAGCCATACCAGTAGGTCTGGCTCTCTGGGTCGCTCACATCAACCCTCTTCCAAATCAGCAGATTCCCATGCTCGTGATAGCTATGATGAGTTTGACAGTGAAGAAGCAGAGGACAGAGCAGGACAGCCCAGTTCTAGGTCACAGCAAACAGGGCTTCCCACAGGCTCCAGTTCTCGCACATGGAAGGATTCGAAATTAGCTGCAGTCTCATCAAGATCTGCTGTTTCTGGTCACACTTCACCTCACTCTCGCTCCTCCACCATTGCCAGATCCAATGGAAAGGATATTGGTAAGAAACATAGAGAGGACTCACAAGATGCAAACCCTTTATATCCTTCTTTACCCTCTTCCAGGCAGTTTTCTTCAGCAGTCTATTCCAACAGAAGAAATCCTCAGGTTGATTCCAATGCTCACCTCAAAGAGACACACAGTGAAAAGTCTCTCCACTCTGACTCAGAAGAACAGCAAAGTCAATTGGCTGCTCCAGAAAAGCATTCTCTTTTGCAGTCTTCTCTTTCCAAACATAAGCCTGAAGAGCAGGACAGTCGAGAGGTAAAAGAAATGCTTGCTCGATCAAAACCAAGTGTATCTTTGCCTAAAAAGACATTCTCCTCTCATCTTCCATTGGAGAAGACGTCCCATTCAGAACCTCCACAGAGGGCACAAACGAATCCTTCATTACTGCATTCAAGGGGCCGGCGCCTCCCATCTCATGTCTCATCCCAGAGTAATGAAGAATTGCAGGAAGCTGATGATGAGGAATTAACAGAAGGCAGTGATAGAGCAAGCAGCCGCTCTGTGTTTGCTAAGGAGATGTTTTCCTCTAGGGGATTATATGCATCTTCCTCTCAAGGAAGCTCAAGTTCATTTCTATCAAAGCAACAGCAGCCAGGTTCTCAGGTGCCTTCCTACAAGCCCAAACTTACTCGGCCAGACTCCAGTTCTGCCAGTGATACAGCAGAAGACAACCAATATAATCCAAGGTTGTCATCCACTTCTTCGAGACAAGATCGACCTTCATTACCTACTCGCTCAAGAGCTGCAACAAGAACAGTGTCCCAAACAGAGAAAAAATATGGCCCTTTGCCCTCAAAATTGTCCAAAGCTGATCTTCCTCAAAAAGTTTCTTCCTCCTCTTCATCTAAATCTCATCAGTCAGTTTCTAATGAAGAGGACGATTACTACAGTGAATATGATCAGAAAGAAGTGGAAGAGAAACCCACATCTTTGGCAGGAAAATGGTCCCCTTCTGTTTCTAGAGGTAACAAAAACACGTATGATGACACTACTAGCAATAAAAGGAAATCTATGGATGCTCTTCTACCTCACAAAGTAAGCTCTGAAGAGAAAGAGAAGGAAAAAACTCCAACATTAAAAATACCTTCTCCTGAATCACCAGGAAGATCTGCCGTAGCATCACGGATTACTCAGTCCCCTAACAAACACACCCCATCTAAACCAAGCTTTGTCTGGCCACGTTCTTCTGCATCTACCACCACACACACTCTT